TATCGCTGGGCACTGCGTTATACTTCAGCTAGTGCGTATTTGTGATAAAAGATTTGTCCGTTTATTCACCCAAAACATACCTGTGTTAGTGAATTCCAGTCTTACACCACTCGCAGATGGAAACAAACTGTACATGTAATCTATAGAATTCCACTGACAATAGCAAATGTTCTGAAGGTGACATCCATAATACCTTTAATACTTTGCTAAGAAAAAACAACAAAAAAAAAACAAAACTGTTTTGTATGTTTAAATAAGATGTTTTACCAGAAACAAGGTCAGAATTTTTGAAGATATTTTCTAAGGTTGGTTGTATTACATTATATTAAACCATATTTTGAGTTTCAGAACATTTTGTATAAAAAGAAACTGTTCAGCCGCTCTAACACAGTAAATTCTGAAAACTCTACAATTATTACTCCATTCACACATGGACTAGTCTTAGAACATTGCCGGGTTTCTGTTTTTCTTTCTTTCTTTTTTTCATGAATCAGAGCTCACTGAGGACATCCACCCCTGGGACAAATTTTTCAGCCTGCTCAGTCAAACGTATCATGGGATAATTGCAAATAATCTAGTAGCCCATGTCAAGAGCGTGACCTTTTATTTAGCCTAAGTCATAAGACATGGTGACATTTTATTGAAATAGCCATATTTGTTTCTAGATAATAGATCTTAATACAATCATAAGTCATACCATTTTATAGATTTTTTGTTCAATACAATTTTAATGTAACTATAATTTGGTGTGGACCTTGGACCTGTCTGGGGTCCACGTCAGAGCCCCGACCTTATTAAAAGTAGGCATCAAATTGCAACATAAACAACTTGTCCAGTGTTTTTGTCATTAAGAATAAATCAGCATTATTATTGTTGTAAAAACCTACATTTCATTTTAATTTGTTTACCTCATATCTGGGGACACAGATATTGTAAGTGTAAATACATCAAAATAAATGTCATCGAACTTACATACGACTCTTTTAGGTAGGTAAAGTCAGGATCAGTGTCAAGGAAATGAACGTACGTCAATGCAATGTCCCCAAGAAGCATGGAAAGCCAACATGTGTGTGGAGTGAGAGGGGGAGATGCCACATGTATGACAATGCTGCTGTGGCGCCATCTTGTGGAAGGGAACTATAGTTTATACTGCAGCAAAAGACAGAGCTTTAATCAAGAGCTTTAATATTAAATAGTAATAATGAATACATGATCACGTACAAGGATTAGTCTGAACCTCATTTATTCAGCGGGAATCCTGATGTATTTGATAGATTTCATAAACATGACCTGTCTCTGTCCTCAGATATGAAATGTTAAAATAACTTCACTGATGACAGCTGTAGTGTCATTTATGTGTGAGGGAAGTCATGTTAGTAACAGAATGTAAGTTACAAGTACCATTACTACTATTACCAGTGGTGGATGAAGTGCTCAGTTTTGTTACTTAAGTATACCTAAGTAACAAAACCTTATAAAAGTGCAGGTACAGAGGTAAAAAGTTACTCAAGTAAAAGTATTACTTCAAAAAAATCTACACAATCTACTTACCAATACAGATCTTTCATTTTTTTAATGAATTTTGTGTGTTTACTTTTGGTTCCTGAAAGATGAAGCTTGAACTCAAAACCTTTAGTCAGGATGTTATCACAAACATGGTAAAATATAACTCTATAAGTATACTACTTTACTACATGTACTTTGTTACCTTCCACCATTGACTATTACTACTTCCTCAGGCATTACGTGACTGTGTATTATCCTGTTAAATAAATGAAATACTTTAAGGTTTGATGTTCAGTGCTTACAGATCAAGTACATTATGATTATTATCACATGAAATTGTATTTTTATTAGGATGATGTACAGTTAGATTAAAGTTTTGGAGGTTCAGGATTGAATGTGTTTCTACTTGTGACTTGGTTTGGTGGGGTAGTACCTGTGGTAAAGATTTATCATAGTTTTACATTAGTCTAATAGTCTAATTTGTGGAAAGAAGTTGAGATGAAAAGGACAAAATGCCATCAACACAGAGAATGTCTTCTAAAATACAATTTGCGCATGAAGAAGGCAATTATCTGACATTGATTTAGCAAAATAAAGCTGTTGTCATTTATTTATATAACTAGCAGACATGGTTTTGCCATTGTTAAAAGGCTCATGACAGGTTTTGATGACACTCTAATTTCTGGGATAATACCTGCTGTAAATATAAATCATAGTTTTACACAAATCAAGAAGCAATTTGTTAAGAAAAGATTAAAATAATATGTAAAAAATGACAGAAAGTGGAGGGTTCTATTTTAGAAAGTTCCATATTGACGATATCACACTGTGGAGAAATCTGTCCCAAACAAAATAAATATGTTTTCTTATATTTGTATTTGTCACATCATTATTTCTTTGTGCATTCGAGGAGTTTTGGCCCACTGTATGACGTGGATGCAAGCTAATAGTTCTACAATTTCCTAGTTTAATGTCATGATTTCGACGTAGGAGGTAAAATCTGAAACCTTAAAAATGGTCAAACTGGGCAAAAATGTTTTTTTTTTTTTTTTTTGGTAACACTTTATAATAACTACACCTTATTTAGCCTTAATAAAGCATGAATAAAGATGTAATTAATACTGAACAAAGACTTAATTAATAATGATTCACGCTTAGTAAATGTTTAATAAAGGATAATTAGTCTTCACTTTAGAAAAGCTCTCAAAAAGACTTAACTAACAGATAACAGCTGCCTGAATTATCATTGCATTGTATTATTAGTAAATCATTCTCTCATAGTTTACTAATGATTAATAAATGCTCAAATCTTTAGTTCATGAGTAATTAAGTATGAAATAATTATGAGTAACTATTTACAGCACAAGCAAATTAAGTGCAAGTGCTAATTAAGGTAATAATTAAGTAGTTACTAAGCGTGAATCATTATTAATTAAGTCTTTGTTCATTATTAATTAAGCCTTTGTTCATGCTTTATTAAGGTTAAGTAAGGTGTAGTTATTATAAAGTGTTACCTTTTTTTTTTTTGTAAAACCTTAAATATAATGACCTTAACTCTGCGTAAATGTGTGTAAAATGAATAGTCCAACCTGTCACGGTCACTTAAATACTATGGTTGTTAGGTAACAGTTATGGAATTACCTCTTCGTCATGACTCCACTGCTGTAAATGCTGCTCTGTCACATACACTTTAAGCATTAATTGTAACGAAATTGACTTAGGCAGGCGTTTTTTTTCATCCAATCTCAAGTGTTTTGTTTGTGAAAATGCATTATGCTGACGATGGTCCCTCAACTTTTGTTTTGAGAGAATAATCAGGACTGTCACATTTTTGGAGTGGTTTTCAAGAGCGTTTCGTACACAATAGATTACTGCTACACTGATTGCTACTTTTACTTCTACAGCTATTAAAAGGCCTGTACCTGAGTTTTACCATGTATTTGTATTAAAAGTGTCTTGTCCCAGTACAGATATATTGCATAAGCAGCTCTTGAGGTGGAATAAGTGAGATGGGTGCTTCTGATTCTCATTATAAAGCCTTTTATTGTCCAAGAATCAAGTATGCAGTACTGTATCCTATAAATATGTTTTGTGTGTATTGTGACCAAACCCATATATATTAAAACAAAACAAAACACGCACACAAAAAGGACATGGTTCATGATAACTGTTTCATTTAAATGTTTTCATATTTAAATTTTTTTGTCATAATTTTGTGTGTGTTGTGTGTTTTTTCGATTGTAAAGTTCTCTAAAGTTGTATGCAAATCTGGCAAGCCATTTAATATGCATTATGTAACAATTTTCTCCATGGAGATGTTATTGTTTTATCTGGAATGTCTCGCAATATGGCATTAAACTTTTCTATCTCCATGGAGACCAAATCAGACCAACTTACAAGTCTGTACTGTGGAGAGGCAACCCTGCTCATGGCCAGAATGTCTGTTTTTCCAGGTATGTTTGAGTTATAAAACCACCTGTAATTGAATAAATGTAAGGTAGAGCTGCTTAATGTCACACTGTGGAACATTCCAGACAGAGCAATGACATATCCATGGAAACAAACAGGTGACAGAATCTCCACCAGAATAGTTACACAGTGCACCTTTAAATTGTTTTGACCGTTCAGTGGTGATGAACCTCATTCTGTGAGCTTACATAGCTTCTTAGGGTCGCCATGTTTTTCAGTGCCAAATATACTGACATACACTACAGGTCAAAAGCTTTAGAACACCACACTTCTTTTTCAAATTTTTTTTTTTACTGTTCATTGTGTCATTGCACTCTCAAATGAAAGCATACAATAAATATCATGGAATCAATTTATAGACCAAAATATATTCTACACTTTTGATTCAAAATAGCCACCTTTGATACAATAGCTCATGGCATTCTTTCTACAATAGTAATATTCTTCTAAATGTGTGGCACGTGTAGGTTGTTTGGCTTTCACTCTTCTGTCCAGTTCATCCCAAACCAGCTCGATGGGGTTTAAGTCTGGAGACTGTGCTGGACACTCCATGTTTTCAAGCTTTACCATCTTGTTCTTTTTTCCTAAGGTAATTTTGGCAGAGCTGGGACTTGTGTTTTGTATCTTTTATTTTATTTTGTTTAACCTCTGTCTGTTCAGTTTTTACCTTTGTACCATTTCAAGCTCTTCATTGGACTTGCACGACTTGAACTGCAATAAATAACTGGAAAAATTAAGGTGTTCTAAAACTTTTGGTTGATAGTGTACATATTATAATATATAAATATACAATATACACTTGTGTCTATGTGTGTGCATGTGTGTGACCATACATATAATATAAATTGATCAACTGAAGTGCACAGTTAGCATGCTAGTTAGTGTCAGACAGCAAAACAAAGTAGTGAAAAGCGCTTACAAATTCATCACTAAAAATCAGCTACAGCACATTTAAAAACGACAAAAGAAATACAAAACAAAGAATATAAACTTTATTATAACATTGAACAAATACATTAGAGGTGTAACGTGGGTAATATACTCCTATAGGACATATACAGTCATATACATACAACATTGTACAGGTTCATCAAACATAGCAGCTTAAGCCTCTTCAGTGCTTTCACTTGACTTAAAAAGGATCATTCAGACAAATTGTACTTTATTAACAATATTGTGACAGCGTATGTGATGCTAATATACAAATACATACATGAAACATTATATAAAGCATATTATTGTTATGGAGAAAACAGACCTGCTTGTGAATAAGTTCTATCTTGAGAATAAGTCACCATTTTCTGTATTAATACAGATTTTTGATTACTTTTGTGAGCCCATATTTTGAGTTGGAACGCCAAGATTTATTACTATGGATGGGACGAAAGATAGAACGCAGTGTGAGATTTAAACATAATTCTTAATATATACATTTTAGTTTCCAATTTTGGCCTCATACTTTTGGATTTATTTAGTTTAATGTTTTTTTATTCCATTCTAGTGCTGTTTTTTGGAACTATGGGACCCTTTTTATTCAATCCAAATGTTGACACTAAAACCATCCCTATTTATTATATGTTTTATTATGAACTTGAAAGGCACAGTATGTGACTTTCTGGAGGAGGCCAGCTGCAAACTGTGTGATTCATTGGAAATAGATTACAGTTATAACCATATTTTGAAAGATTCTCCATGGGGAAATATTTTATGCCATACTGTGGAATATTATAGTTATAGGAACAACATTTCCATGAAAACAAACAAGGGCAAGCCCTCTTCCAGGCTGAATAAGAGTCAGGTTTGTGGAGATGCAAGCCGCTCACTGCAAGGATTGAAGCTTTTCAGTGCAATAAACACAAACTATTTTTAGAAATGCCCAAACAGTTCCATACTGTCGCTTTAAATTTGTTTTTCTTTTCAAATTTGGTTTTAGTTATCTTACATGCAAATAGTACTAGTACTAGCTCATTTGTTTCTCAAGATAAAACTTAAATATGATCCTTTTTTGGACTCATGGAGATCCAAATTCATTGATTTTTAAAAATTTTCATTCTCATTAAAGCAACACTATGTACCTTTTCTTGCTAAGTTGGTCTCCATAGTGATGTTATTGCTTTGCCTGGAATGTTCTACTATTTAACTATTTAATCTATCTCCCGGCAGTTAAGCAGGTGGCGTTACCAGACTAAGTTACTTCTCTGATCTGTGAAAAGGCGAGCCCATTCACTGCATGTTTTTCAATTTAATACAAATATATTTTTTTAAATTAACAAATTAAAGACACCTATAATTGAATAAACGCAAGACAGATATGTTTAATGCCATACTGTGGAACATTCCAGGCAAAGTGATAACATCATGGAGAAAGAGGTGGATAGAGTAGCCAAAAATTACTCAAGTAAGAGTAACAACAACATCAAACTTTTATCACTTTTAGACTTACTCACAGTGAGGAAAGTCACCAAATCTCAAGTAAGAGTACTGTTTCTTCAATAAAAATATTACTCAAGTAGAAGTAAAAGTATGCTGCTAGAAAAACACTAGCCAACTACAATGTTTTTAAAGAGGGGGTATTGATTCTTTTGACCTTTCTAAAATGTTATGACGTTCAAAACCACGCAGCCTGAAGAGGTTTTAGATGTATCCATGCATCTTTGAGCAATTAAGTGATCTCTCCCAAGTCCTATTCAAACCCTCCTTCCGGTTCTGTCCAATTCTCAGCCAACAAGCCTACATCACCCATGCTCCCACAAAAATACTCCATGAACATACAAAAACTGTACACATCTACTTGACAAAGCTGATGCGATGTGCAGTAGTTTCATAAGAGAGATGCACACTGATTGGGTTGTGATAGCGCTCTGAAGGGGGAGTGACTTTGCACGGGGAGTAAAGGCAGAAAGTCAATACATTGTTTCCAACGAATATAGCATTTTCAAAACAATAAAAGTGTAATACCCCCTCTTTAAAAACATATCCAAGTAAATAAGTAAATGTAAGTGAGTAGTACCCACCTCTGCATGGAGACAACCTGCATCAGAAAAGTTACACAATGCACCTTTAATCTGACATTTCAGTGGTTGGCTATTGGTCAAAACAGAAAACTTTACCATAATGAAATGATGAAATGTTTACATGACAAAACTGTACATAAGTTACCCTTCAAACATTCTGCTCATAGATCTATAAGACCCAAATGTATAGGCGAGTGTCAGAAACGCACTCATTAAAATACTATGTACATAAGGAGCACTTCACGCGAGCTCGGCCCAGTGTCCTTAGCAGCGCCCCCCCGGTGGATGCTCTCAGTCTATGCGCCCTGTCCATGCACGGGTCTACGTCTTTGGTCTATCTGTGATTCAAGTAACGCCAGGAAGCAAAACCGTGTTCAACTATGACTGATTTGCTGCTGAGCTAAAGGTCCTACATTACACAAAATTGACTCTTGTGAGCTTTAAGTTGTGTTAGAATGTTGTTACTTCACCAAAACATACCTGGAGTTGTGTTTTGTTTTGTTCACGCATGTATCTCCAAAGCTACAATCCACCTTGAGATGTCATGTAGCGGTAGTTTTCATGTTAACAGCTACTTTTTACCTTTAGTTCTGTAGAGATTGGCAATTCCAGGGTGGAAATTATCTAAATGACTATAGTTAAGGTGAAAACACAGTGGATCACTTCCTGTTTTGCCACATGATGTCACAAGATGGAAGAGAGTGTTTTCTGTCAGCCTAATATCAGCCTAAATATGAAGGATTTATGTGTTAAATGTGTGCGAATGAAACTAAACAAAACTCCAGGGATGTTTTTGATGAGGAAACAGCATTATAAAAGAAAAAAGATAAAAGTGCGTGGTGAATGGAAGTGACTTGGATATGAAATACAGTGCCTTCTATTAATTTAATATTGAAACCATTGGTAAATTTTGTACATAAAAAGAAAGAGGTTGGTATTTATTTTAAAGATAAATGAACATTCCATTTTGACTCCCCCAAAAGTGTGATGATCGGGGCTTCCACGGCTTTGTCTGAATGTCCCCCCTAAGCCACCTTGCCCCTCACTGCATAGGCCTGCACGCTTTAGCGGACTATACAGTGCACTGATTCACAAAGAGATTCAGACGCTCAGCTCTCTACAGTCAGGTCACGTGACTCTGGTGTCTGGGTGAAAAAAGTCTCTGGATTTCTGTAATAAATAATGCTAAAATCCGACTGGCACACGATTATTTATGAACTAATACATTTTTCAAAGCTAGATCTTAGGTAAACAGACTCATTGTTCAACTTTTTGTCTAAAATAGAGAAGTTATCAATCTTTTGACAGCTCAAGCTAAGGAAAGCAGCTACAACTTTATACAGAAAAAGTTTATTTAAAGGTGCATTGTGTAACTTTTCTGGTGGAGGGTCCGTCACCTGCTTGTCTCAATGGAGATGTTATTGCTTTTCGAGGAATGTTCCATGGTATGACATTAAACAGATCCGTCCTATTGCTGATAAATACAGAAATTATCTCTGTGAATACGGTTGTATCTCCACAGATTTGACCTATAATGTAGCCAGTAGAAGCAATAACATCTCCATTAAGACAAACGGGTGACAGACTCTCCACCAGGAAAGTTGAGCAATGAACCTTTAATAATGTTGTATTCATAATCAGGGACCAACCACGTGATAAACCAGCGCTTCTATCTGCTTTCATAGGTTTTGTCCAGTCAAATACCTATTGCTTTTTATTGTAGCAATGCATTGTGGTCTATATTGACCAGCTTCGTGACCAGCTCTGGACACTAGGCCTGTCACAATGATTACTATATCGACTTTTCGTTGAATATAAAAGCTGGAACAATATTTTGGGGGTCAATATTTATACACAAATGGGAAATTTTTGGTTATTTTTTGGCTTTTGGCTATACAAATATAAATTAAGCTGCAGAACATTTAATTAATAACTTCTGTGGTTCATTACAGATGCAAACTAAGTAGGAAAAAGTTTCATTCTGCTGTTTATTTATTGCAGCTCTTGATTTTTTTAAAACAAAACTTTACATTTAGAATATTTTTTGTTGTTTTAATCTACTCTTATCATCTCTTGTCATTATCATTTATCGTCTAAATTTACTTCAGCAATAAGGCCTACTGGACACTACATTTCAAGATGCTTTGTGGGAAAGTTTGAGTTCACAACTTTTTCCACTCACCGGACTTTCGGACACCACTAAAAATTGCGTGACCCCTAAATAGTGCCTTAAGCAGGGGACAGTGTGGACATCCAGACACAGCCAGAGATCTGCATGAGGTTAATTGAGTGTATGGCAGGCGACCTTCAAGGTGTTTGACTTAAGATTTTGTATATATTTAGAATTAAATTTAATTATGCACTCAATAGACGAGAGACAAAACTATCCCGTCCTTATAGAGTGCAATAACTAAAGGCAAAAAATGGTCTCTACAACTCAAGAATTCCTACATCGCCTTAAATATGACCCTAGACAAAATACCAATAGAGGACACTGTATTTTACTTTAAGTAGTGAAAGGCACCATTATCTGCAGCCGCTGAGTTGAAGATATAAATATAAGCACGCTCATGTCTTTTATATTTACAGTCTTAACAATTTTGAACTTCATTTGTGAACATGTGAACAGACGTGTGTTTAAGCAGAATTCTTTTGTCTTGAACTTCCATTGACAGTACATTCATAAATCTCTCTTCTCATTGCATGTTTACCACGGCAGGATCCGGAGCACCACCAGAGCAGCAGAGTCTTTACAGTAGTCCAGTCCGGTTCTTTGGGTCCTCACCGAACTACACCAGATCTGGGTTGGGGCCCGGGACTACATCATGTCCGGGTTGGGGTAGTGCTTGAAGACCTTGTAGATCCACTGTGTGTAGTAGGGCACGTTGATGAAGACGGCGGGCTGGTTGGTGCGTGCACAGCCTCGTCCGTGCACGCTCACGCCCACGATCACCCGGATGTCCCCATCCTGACACACCAGGGGCCCGCCGTAGTCCCGCTGCAACACAACAGTAAAATTGTATATTTCAATATGAGTTTTGCATGGTATAAAATATTGTGCAAGTATGGAAAACAACTATTTATCTGAAAACTTTTGTTCTTGCATTGGAGTAAAGGATATTCTAGTGATAAATGATGATAAAAATGAATCTGGTGAAGGTGAATGGGCTTTAAATAATAAGCATTGGATTGGCTTTTATTCAACACCCTATAAGCTCTTTACACTGCAATATTCATTCATTCCACACTTGGTGGTGGTAAGTTACTATTATTGCCACGGATGCCCTGGGACAGATGCACCGAACCAGGTTTTTCAGTTCTGATACCGATTACAATATTACGACAAAGATATTATGAAGTATCGGATCGGATATCAACCGTTATGCAGACGACACACAGATCTATGGCTCACTGGCAGCAGGGGACTCACTCTGCTACTGCATCCAGCAGATCAAAACAACTTTCCCTTGCTAAACTCAGACAAGACAGTCGTGGTCTGTGGCCAACAGAAACAAAGACACAGTATCAGCAGTCACCTGCAGTCTCTCGCTATAAAACCTTCAAATCAAGTAAGAAATGTAGAAGTAATAATGGACTCAGACTTGAACTTTAAGAGCCACATCAAATCAATAAGATCTGCAGCCTTCTACCATTTAAAAAACAGCAAAAATCAAACTGCAGACTTGGAGAGACTTATCCATGTGTTTTTCTGTCCAAGTCTTTAATTGAGGAATGCAGGTCCAACTTGAAAAAACCCAGAAAACTGACACAAGGCTCAACTCTGCTTCAAGACTTTATATTGAATTTTTTCAACTTCTTCAGAAGCAGTAGTATTTAAAGTAAATTTAAGTAGTTAAGTATTTGTATTTTAATATATTTGCATTTGAATTAATCTATTTTAATCATAATAATATTTATTAATATTGATTTTACATATTAACTTTATTAGGCTCCAATTAAATTAAATTATTTTATAATTTTAAATATTTTTTAAATCTTAAATAGAACTTATTTTTAAATGACAAAATATATGAAACAAATTTTATATTTTATTATATTGTTTTTGTTTTGTTTTAATTATTTTTATTAAGAGACTTTCTGGGCTGCATATGGCCAGGAAATAGAAAATAACATCAAGTTGTATCATCTGAACCAATATTTGGAAGCCAATATTCAATGCATCAAAATTTTCGGAATATATCCGATATTGGTATCGGATTGGTGCATCCTTAGACACAACAACAGTTTCCACTAGAGCCACCCCAGTGGCACCTCCCAGGGTCGGGTCTTATATATACTGTATATCTTCTGAGATCTAACAGAATTGGGCATTGACAAGGAGGTATGAATACAAGAGTGTCAGTCTGGTTGGCTTCAGTTATTGTTGATCAAAAGGATGAATACTTAAGTTGGGCAAAATGTCACATAATGCCTTCCTAATTTAATACGTTTTACTCCCTCTTGGCTGTCTCCTCTATGCCTTCTCCTTTAAATGGATTGTAGAGATTCACAGACAGCTCTCCTCTCCCCTCCCCTCTACCCCCTTTCCCCCTTCTCTCCGCCTCTGTCTCTGTTTACCCAGCCTGCTGTATTAAGCCTATGGATTTAAAGCACATTTGTTGGAGATTTAGATCAAACCGGTTTCACACAGATTTGGGTTGTGAGTCGGGCCGACGTGCTAATGTCTCTAAACTCACACAGGAGATATACTAAATCCAACTGGCTTAAGCTCTGCTCTTGTTTAAAGGAGATGGATAATTCTTAATAGACTTTTTGTGCTCTCAACCACATAGTTTGTACTAGTTTTTGAGGCATTCATTCAAGTAAAGTAAAAGTAAAGAAAGTAACTCCCAATTTTGTCAGCTTGTTGCACAGTTGCACTCTGGGGATGTCAAAAACAGACAAAAACACAACACAGATACTAATGGACACTAATGGGTTGTGCTCCTACCATAGACTCTTCATATAGATTTTTAGCTAACCCACTAACCCCCACATTCCAAATCGGCAGAGAGCATTATGCAGCTTTCACACAGTATGGTAAAGACAATCCTTTCCATTTGTGAAGTGGAAATTACGAGTGTTTTATGTTCAAGTGCTTTTGTTGTCGTAGTGAAGTGAAACACGGTAGACCCAGAGTTTATCCTGACCTGTTACTAGGGTAAAACAGTTTTAGACTTGCTAATTCATCTGCTACAGCAGGAAGAGAATGCATCAAACACAAACAGTAGGCTAAATACTATGCTGTATATTTTATTGATGGTGTATAGTAGAGATTTGTTAAAGGAGAATAGCTAATGCTTCTGTATTAGCTAGCCTATATAAGTAAAGCCTGACCTTATCACACAATCTTGCCTATATCAGCTCAAAAACAGCATTGTTGCAATAGTACATACATATACAAAGTGACTGTTTAAAAAGACTGGAACTGCCTGGATGACCCTTTTGGATATACAGGACAGCACATTTAAGAAGTTCAACCTCTTCTGCGATCAAGTAGGCAACATGAGATGACTGATGACCATCCATCTGGAGGTCCTCCAAGAATTCCTGTACAAAAAAATGACGATGCTGTTTTGGTATCTTGCTAAACAGAACTCATTTTGTGAGACCTCTGACAAGTTTGATGTCAGTCAAGGATCAGTGCATAATGTTACCATGGAAATGCTTGACTGTACATGTGCCATCGCAGAACGCTACATTGTCTGACCAGATGACTGTCAGAAGACTGACAGTCATCCAAGCAGCCCTATTCTGAAGGGCGTGCGGAATAGATGGAATAGTTGGTGCAATCGATGGCTGCCACTTCAGCATCCTGCAGCCACCTATAGGTAGTTGGAAACAGAAGTTGGGAGACTTCTAATTACTTGGGGATAGTGCATATATAAGCAACAGCTTCCCTTTCATTGTCACAATGGGGGGACAATGGGGCCTTGAGTGAAGATGTAAAAAGTAATAATCAGCAGAAGGAGGGTAGTAGTTGAACAAGCCTTCAGCTGCCTAAAATATAAGTGGAGACAACTTTGTGAAATACAAAATTCTCATATAGACATGGTGGTGAAAGTAATTGTAGTATTGTGTATGCTACTTCTCAGTATTTGTATTGTTATTGAAGCAGCTTGGTTTTTACACTTTTACTAACATAATTTCACAAGTGAAAAGCAATGCTAAGCAAGTGTAATATAATTCTAAATATAATTAGCAAATTAAAGATATTATTGTCTAACGAAGAGAAAGTAAAAAAAAAAAAAATAAACTAAACAAAAAAAAAAAAAAAACAGACCTCGTGGTTTCTTTTAGTGGTTATTTTATTTCCAAACACTCTTTTCCAAGTCAAAGCAGAACACCAGCTTCAAAAAAATGTATCTTATCATTTCAACATTATTATTTGTACATATTTTTCTAAGCCTTTGTTACTGGAAATATGTAAAAACTAAAATGTAATGTGCAAAACCACATCTGCAAAACTTTTGTAAACTAAAGTCTCTTCTGTAAACATCTCTCTGTCAAAAATATATTCCTTTACACCCTGGAAATAACAAAGTATACAGTGAGGCATAGGTAACATTCCCCAACATAAAACATACCTCTCCATTTTAATGCTTCATAAAAAGAAAAATAAAGTCTGCATCTTCATTCCTGCTGGTGTGACTACAACAACTTTTCAAACAGAGCATTTGTTGTTTTAATTTGGCCCATGACTTCCTTATGTCTCAGTTGAGAGGCTACCTCACATCCTTTTAGAAAACACATCACTTTGTTTTTGTCTTCTTGATGTTTCCTTTTACGCTTCAAAACCACAGAGGTATGAGCTGGTGCTTGTGATGGTGCTGAGCACTTGCTCAGGTGAAGACATGCCTTCCTTTGTGGAAAAGTGAGCAAACTGGGGTGTTTGAATGGTTTGGTTCATGACCTCTTGGTGCCTGACAATTACTACCTTTGCAGTCCTGATAACAGGAAAGTTCACATCATGGTTTTCCTCCGATTAGTTCACCCATATCTTTTAGAAACTAGAACTTTGTGGGTGCTTTCCCTGTTGAGGCATTGTTATCTATTGCTATTGAGTTTTGCCAGATTGCGTAGGCGCTCACAGCTGTCTTTCACTAAATGCTGGCGCATGAGATCAATCAAAAACAGGGTCTGGACTTTGATGAAAACTTGATTTTGAGGCAGCTCTTCTGTAGTGCTGTCACCTAAATACATGGGGAAAACTAATTATTCAAGACAAAACACAAGTTATTTTGTTAGCAAGCATGTTTGAAATGACCAAACATAATTCTAACCATTTTGTGATTCATATTTGATGGGTTTGTGCTTTTTAGCAAAGCGTAATACAGTAAATTAAAGACAGTGGTCCTCAAATTGGCTGGCTGCAACTGCATCTCGTGCAAACCTGTTTCAGCAGATCTGGGGGGAACTGGTCTGTCCTGGTCTGTACAACCTGCCATCTCTTTCCTGTTGATAAAGAGTTTGGGCTATGGGTGGGGTCATCTCCTGGTCCCAGTATAACAGGCTGTCACTGGGATATACTACAAATAAATTCATGTGAGAAAATTGCATTCCACCGCACAGTACCCTACTGAAGGTTATCCTCGACTGACTAACGTTAGCTAGCATCTGCTCTAAAAGTGGGAGTAAAACCAAATGATAACAGTATTTTTAAAAACGACAATAAGTATAAATGGCGATGTTATTAAAATTATGTACAGTATGCCACAGCATTATGTAGAGTACAAACTAACCAACTAATAGCAGCAGAGAATGTTTAACAGAATGCAGTACTTACCATTCACGACACTTTCGCTGCTCTCCGCCATGTTGAAAGGTCAAAGTTTATCTCATCTCGGCAGCTTGTGTATTATAAAAATCTTCCAGCTTTCCAGTGGAAATTACGAAATGGGTGGGTGTTCATGTGCAATTTTGATGTCGGTTTTTGGTATTTACGATAGGACGTGAAGTGCAAGATTCAGTTGGCTTCCTCTGGTGAGAGCAGAAAGCTTTGGCTGACTTCACACTCCCTCAGTCCACTTCTATATACAGTCTGTGGTTCCTGGCTGTTCTTGAGTTGGTCATGGTCAAAAAAGATTTTAGTCCTGACATAGACTGGTTTAGTCCTTCTGATTTTCCAAATGGGAGTCCAAACTGAGTAGGTGGCAATAATTATCTGATTATGACAGAGGTGATGAGCAGTGTTCACTGCATAAGACAAGTCCACCTAAAACTCTTATATTCATTAAAATATACAAAATGTTTGCGCTTTCCAGTGGCGTAGTAGGTTAAAGCAGATCTATTAGGTGAAATTGACTTTTGAGAGGTTTTAATCTAATTTACTCATCCAAAGTTTTTCTGATATTTATATATTTGAACAATCTTTAATCACTTATTTTCAAGATGCCATATTGCCAATCAACACCCTTTTTTACCGCCGCCAGCATACAGCCATTGCTCTCCACTTCTTTTATTAAGTCGTTTTAGATTAATATTGCAATTTAAAATCCAAAATCATGGCCATACCAGCTTGTGTCGGATTGTCAAAGTCTGATCTCGTCAGATCTCAGAAGCTAAGCAGGGCCGGGCCTGGGTTGTACTTGGATGGGAGACACTGGGAAAATCAGGTGCCACAGTCACGAAAACTGTTGTTAGGTCTTATGTAAGGTACTTCACCCACATTGACTAGTAGGCAAGTGGTTTGTGCATGAGTGATGGTGGTGGTCGCTGACTGGCAGCCTTGCTTCCGTCAGTCTGCCCCAGGGCAGCTGTGGCTACAATATCAGCTTACCACCACTGGGTATGGAGTGAGTGAACAATGAATGGTAAAGCGCTTTAGGTGTCTTGAAAGGCACAATATAAATGCAATGATTAATTAATTAGTTAATTAATTTTAAAAAATGATGATCCACTCAAGTTATATTTATATTATAAATAAACCATTAAGATTATATTTAGTTATAATTATAATGGACAAACTGGCATCACAACAAAGCCTATATCAGTTATCTTGTTAAAAATAGCAGCACTGCTAATTTATCTTTCGAAACTGCTTCACTTCCCTCTGTTGCCAGCAGAGGGCGTTAGACACATGAGTGTAAGTGGTAAAAGCATGAACATGATTTACCTCACAGACCCCTTCGTTCTTTCTCCCTCCTGCACAGATCTTGTTGTTGCTGATTCGCAGGTTTCCCTTGTGCAGATTCTCACACCTCTCGTTGCTCACGATGGGGAGGTTAACCGCCTTAAGCATCTCGTCATGACCCGTGTCTGAAAGTGAAGACTAGTGAATATTTCTTTTCCTGATCCAAATAAAGGTCATAATTAGCATTATATTTAAATTGTCCTTAAAGGAGTATGTAAATGTAAATGTAAAATTGACCTTTATGAGTTTAACCATGTAACTGTTCTCTCATCATTATCTTATTCTCAGTTGTATTTTTTCATTGATTCAAGCCAACGATATAAAAGAATGAGAACTTCGCACATCAGTTACCTGAGATGGGCATTGGAGGAGAGGGAGCAGCCCAAGAACATAGAGAAAAATCCCGTCTTACTTGCAAAATGTGACATTTATTAGGACAAACCATAAAACATTTCGGCACTAGGCCAGGTTGTGCTGGATTTTTCTCTCTGTTTATTGATTCATGCGTAATTCCGGACTGTCCTGCATTGCCTTGAGTGCTCAGAAAATTTCAGTTTTCACCTATCTCCACCCATATCTCTGTACTTGCTTACTGACCCTAAGTCTGTTTTTTAATAATAATAATAGGAAGTAAGTACAGAGCAGTGGGCAAGATACGGGATTGGTGAAAACAGAAGTTTTCTATGCACTCAATCCTTCAGTTGCAGGACAATACAGGATTACACAAACATGCATCAGTGCATAGCGTGATGTCATGATTTCCAACCAGAAAGTAAAATTTAAAACCCAAAAAACGTTGTTAAATTGGGAAAAAAGTGTGAATGTTTTAAATATAATGCACTTAACTATGTTTTAGTAAAATGAGCAGTCTAAGCTGACAATTTAAAATGACATCCTATTATGCCATGCCAGACTGAATTTCTCCCACCAGTGTTATGAATTAGTTATCCACCAGTCTGCCTCGTGACCTCTGACCCCTGCTCTCCCCACAGCCTGGAGCTTGAGCAGAGCCAGCAGAATAGAACCAGAGCCTGAGCTTACTTTTGGTCTCTCCCCAGCCGTACATCCTACACGTGGTGCCCTCTGGGATGGAGCAGCCGGCCACAGGCAGCTGGATGGTGTGGACATTTTCAGTGGGGAGGGCGGGTCTGGGTACATACAAGAGTCAGGCATCAGAATACTTCAGAAATGTATTACAAAAATGTGCTGCAGTCAGCCATAGTGTTATAACTATTGAAAGGAGAAGTTAACACATTATTATTGTACTCAATGTACTAAATACAAATATTCAAGTTGCTGTAATTGAGTAGGCCTTTTAGGTAATTGTGCTTTAGTGAGTAGATTCTACATGTCTTATATTAAGCAACATTAACTATTATGAGCTTTACGCCATGTTATAATGCTGTTACCTCATCAAAAACATACCTGAAGTTGTGTTTTATTTCAGGCATACATGCTTGAGTAATCCTTTATTATTTGTCTGTCTACATCTTCAAAGCTCAAAATGCTCTGTTCCACCTTGTGATGTCATGAAACAGTAGTTTTGTTTAGTAGAGAATTTCTACTAAACATACTAAACATACAGTATGTGAATGAAACATACAACTCCAGGTATGTTTGTGATGAGAAAACATAACAGAGATCAGAAAATAGCATGGGCCTTTTAAATCTGTACTTGTAACTGAGTATGATGACTGATTATTTAGATTTATCAAGTTTAGAATAAATGTGTGGTCTAAAATGCTTCTAAAATTGTGTTAAAAAGTAAAGAGTACTGCATGTGTGCTTTTTTATTATTATTCAAGTGTACATTTGGCAGCAATATTTGTACTTGTAATTGAGTATATGTTTAGCCATGTAACTGTACTTATATTCATAAGTACAACTTTTCAGTACCCTTTCCACCTCTGCAGATCAACTGTGGGCTTTGACAAATTGACACGGCAAACACTATTGCTTTTAAAAAAGAGATGGAAAGAAGAGACAGATAGAAATAAGGATAGAAACTATTTTTGAGCACTCACTTCGAGAGGCGTAGAAGAGCCAGGCTGGATCCTTCGGGCCCACAGATCACATGAGCGATGCTGACCTCCTGTCCTCTCGCCCAATCAGGAGCTCCCTCTTCTACACTGGAGATGCCCAGCCACACCCTGTACTCGCTCAGGTCTGGAACACTGTACACGTAAAAGCAATGTTATTATCATTACAAATAATTTATTACTTAAATATATTTAAACACTGAAATCCAGACAGAGTAGCCGTACCACGAGGAAAAGCACTGCTGGTCAGTCAGGACCCATTCTTCTCGAATTAGAGAGCCTCCACACCAGTGCATGGACCTGGACATAGCAGAAACCAATCAATTGGCCTATTATTATACAAATGATTAGAGAACAGAGATAAACTCTTTGGTGTTTGGTAAAAGTGAAAAATAAAAGGCAGAGTTAAGAAGAAAACTGAGGTCTCATTTAGAGTCCTGTGGTTCATTGAAAGTTGCCTATAATATTTTTAAATTTGGTAAAGCTTCATTCTGTCTTCAGTATCAAACTTAGCATTAGCAAAGAATATCAAAAAGAGTGTGAAAAGAAATGGCCAACTGACAAACAGATAAAATAAAACAGCAAGAAGAACAGGAAAATGTGAAATCAGCCATATCAGACAAAACCAGATCATGGAACAATGCCAGGGGTATTTGTGCTGAAAGCCACAAAAATCAGCGCAGTCACCATCAAGGACATCCAGATCCAAAAACAAGGCCCAAAGAACATAAATCATGATAAGGGAGCATACACCTTATCACACACATGGGAGGAAGGCTTCAGGAAGTAGCCAAAACAAGTAAAGCAGGTAAACAAACATTCCTGTCTTGCCATTTCCAAAATATTCTTAATTCAGCTTTAAGAGTGTTTTATTTGAATGATTTTGTAAAATGCAGATGAAGCTAATCAACTATATAGATGAAGTTTGTTAAGTAATCGATTTTACTAAAAGAAACACAAGCCAGCCATTAAGACAATATAATACAGTAGGATTTAACTCAGTGCATTTGTACAGGCTACAAATGAGTACATAAATATAGCAGATTTGTACCCTTTCTGTATGCTGACCATCCAGATGCCGTCGGTGATGCTGACCAGACTGCCTCCCACAATCCTGGGCTTCTTGTGGATGAAGCAGCCCACGGACGACAGCTCCCCTGCACAACACACACAAACACACACACAATGTTACAGAGGGTCACTTACTGTAAATACTTGTACTATCCTTGTTGTTGTTGTTTCATATGGTATTGCAGTAAAGGAAAAATTGCAGCAAAATGATAGACTTGTAAGATGTGTTGGATGAATAAATACATAAATATTATAAAAGTTAATGTTTTATAACACAACTTTCTTTGACAAGCAAGGTCACTTTCCTCTACTTTGGACAGACTGACAGAGATTTCATTATGGAGGTTTTAAAATACCTTGAAAAACATGAGCTCTCCACAGATCTGACTAGAAACTTAACCTGATCATCTCCATGAAAATATGTAAGTTGCATGTACTGTCGAACACTGCAGTTATCTCCATGGAGACAAGCAGGTTGCAGACCCTCCACCACAAAACTGACTGCGTGACCATTAAAATCGTTTGCCGAACTTGGTATGGATTTCCAAGAACTAGGTCTAATCCAATCTAGAACCAAACCAGGACTAAACCCAGACTACACAAGAACTAAACCAGGTCTTATGAGAATTTAACCCAATGTCAAAAGATGACACCACAGCACTTGCAAAACAGCAGGTCCTTTTCTCTCAAACAGAAAACACTCTGTTCCACCTTGTGATGTCATGTGGTGATACAGGAAGGGCTTCACTGTGTTTTAAATGCCATACACCTTCCACTAGACTCATTTTGATAACTTGGGACCCAGAATTTCCAAAACAAAAGGTCAAAGGTAGCTGTCAAAGTGACAGTTCGGAATTTTGGACATAGGACCTCATTTCCTAGTGAGCCAGAGTGTTGGAGACGTGTGGAGACACTTTTTTAGATATTCCATCCAGTCCTTGTATTTGCAGAGGTCGCTGGTGCTAGGCTAGCGCATATCAATGGCCATAGTTAGCCTGCCAATGTAAACAGTCTTACCCACTCCACAAAGCACCTGAAGTAAAACAATTATAACACCAGACTGTCGAAGTGAATGTCTGTGTTCAATAATTTTAGAAGTAAAACCAACCTTGCATTTGAACGATTTATGGAGAGAGTGGCGGACTGATATATGAGAAAATAGTCCCTCAACATGGGACGATTCATGCGATGCAAGGTTAGTTTTATTTCAAACATTATTCTATCAACACAGACATTTACATCAAAAGTAATAATAGATTTTCTTCGGGTACTTTGTGGAGTGGTAAAACTGTCTTAGGTTGCAGGCTAACTATGGCCATTGACATGCACTAGCCTAGCACCAGGGACCTCAACAAATACAAAGACTGGATGGCTCACTAGGAAATGAGGGCCTATGTCCAAAATTCTGAACTGTTCCTTTAACTTGAAAACTACTATGACATCACAAGGTGGAACAGAGCATTTTGAGCTTTGGAGATGAAGACAGACTAACTATAAATAGTTACTCAAACATGTGTGAATGAAACAAAAGTCAATTCCAGGTATGTCTTTCATGAGTTCATGGGATTATAACATTTCTTAAAGCTCACAAGAACCCCATTTATGTAATATAGGACCTTTAATATCATATGGTCAAATCAAAAACCCACCATTTCTAATCTGACTTTTAAATGAACAGAAATTATGAAATGATTTGGTACTCTATAATTACGAGATTTCTATTGATAGCTTTGACAGACATCCAAGTGCGCAGATGCTCCAGGAGAGGGCCCCAGCTCGGGCAAGCATCTGGCTCCACCACTCGCTGACTGTCATGTCAACTTATGTGATTTTCATATCTCCATCTACCTGTCATATGGGCTAAAAAGGATAAAGCATAGCCCACACTGGTGCAGTGTAGACCATGATTTACAATAATTATAACGGTACAGGGGATAAAAGCTAACGAGATGTGATGAGAGTCATTAATTTGGGCGATTATGCAGATGTTGGACGGACACGTGGGTGCTGTTGAAATGGTAGAATGGTGTTTTTATTTCCTCGTTTGAGTTATTATAATGTGAGGTGAGTTATGGCTCTATATGGACTCTATACCTGTCTAGAGAGATCAGCAAATTAGAATAACATGTGAGTGTATATTTATGGCAGTTGGTCTATGTGAAGGGAAAAAGATGTAAAGATGGAAGTACTGAACGCAATTTGGTCAGCTTTCTTGCTTGAAATAAAATAGTACCTCTCAGAGCAGTATTCAGTTATCATACTTTTACTCCTATTTGAATAATACATATGACAGTGTAACACACTTATTTGAATAAAAGCTTTGGTTTTAGCTTTTGTTTCTAATAATAACTTCCCAAAAGTGAAAAGGCTTAATGCTTAAAGCTTAATATGAAATGATTCAAATATTTGTATTTCTTGCACTGCTCTTTCAGATATGAATTTATTTTTCTCATTTTTGGTCTGTACTTTTAGATTTTGAGCAATATTACATTTTTAGCCTTCAAAATTCAAATCTTATTAGCGTAGTTGTTACAAGTAGTAGTTTCTCCAAGTACTTTTCATTCCTACATGAATAGTTTCATTAACCACTACTTTGCATTTCTACTTGAGGAATATTCATTTGAAATAACAGAATGCTTATTTAAAGCTACATTATGTAACCTTCTGGAGGTAGACATGCAAGTCAAATAAGAGTCAGGTTTGTGGAAATGCATGGAAATAGCTATAATCTTCCACCTACCTATCTCCATGGAGAATGGTCTGGTTCAATTTCAGTTTAGATAAGATTAGTTTTTATTTAAAGGGACAATGTGCAGAGACATTAAGCTCATGGAAAACAAAAATGTTCTGCACCAGATTACAGCTTAATAGCTAGTTTCCATCTGCAGTCCCTGAATTACAGAAATAAATTATATAATGCATTTAGTTAACAATAAAAACACACAGCCCACTCTCTGTCAAACGCACACACACACACACACACACACCATATCACCCCTTAACAGAGCAAAGCATTAGGTATTTATAACGTCATGAATTTTATCTTATAAAATACATATTAACCTACCATTTCTGCATATTACTATTATATCAGACCATAGCATACAAAAATACAATATATAGAGGTACACACAGTACTACAGAGTGTGTGGTATTACACACTCTTTATTAATGCTTGCAGGTTTGGTTATTTCATGTCCATTTCCATGGAATCATGCAAATAACTAGAAAGTAACATACTGTACCTTTAAGTTAAATCTATGATTACTTTGCCCACCTCTGTGTACATTTTGGAGTACACTTTGTATCACAATGGCTACAAACAGTCACAAAGCAGTTGTTAAAACAGATCAATGCAAAGTGACACTTACCCAGTGGAAGGGTGTTCTGTGGAATCTCACCTGAGGAGAGACAAACAGCAGGACAAAAACATTACACAGTTGTAAACAGAGTTTGAAAGGTGCTGTGCCTGATTGTCGTCTTAACAATGTGAAAAACACACATTCATTTCAAAAGGTTTGCAGTGGTCCAAAGTTATTCCTCACTTACCTTATACATTCCAAGCATCCTAATAAGCACTTTTCATAAATTTCAGAGCTGCAGTGACAGTAAAGCTAAGAAAAAACAACTTGTATGCTAACCACGCACTTCCTGCTAATTGGACAATAAAACAATAAAGTAGACGCAGGCAGTATGCAGCTGACTTATTTTGACCTCAAGATCTGCTTATACACTATATCTGTACTTGGGCAAGACATGCTTTGCTCAAGTACATGGAAAAAAAAATCAGGTACAGGGCCTTCAACTCCATCTATTTCTAATCACTATCTGGGTTCTTCATTGATATTTGCAGCCCGGTGACAGAGACTACATCCAGGCTTTAGATCTGGAGAAGGCCCACCACTGCTCTTGACAGCTCCCTCGGTGGCATGTGATGGATGGGTCAAACGCAGCCAATAGATTTCCCTACAGGAACGCTCCGGTCTATAGCGATAATGAAAAACAGACGTAGCTCTTCTTATGGGTCTATACAGGTACAGTATACACACTGTTCTGTCCCATATGGAGTCAGTTATTACAATATTTTCACTTCAGACTTTCTCATGGGAAGCTCATCTCTTTTGACATGCTATGATCGGACACATCTTGATACAAAGAGAAAGACTAAACCAGGACTAAACCACCCTACCTTATGTAACAGAGACTAAAGCAGGACTAAAGAAAGACTAAAGAAGAACTGAGCCAGGACTTAACCGTGACTAAACCAAACCAGTATTTCTCCTTTAAAGGCGCTGTACTTAATTTTTACATTATTAAAAATGGTAAACAGAACTGATTCATTTAAATAGTTGAAATAGTAAGCTATTTTATCCCATTTTAGTTTATAAATTGGTGAAATAAGACAATGTACTGGCCAATGTTGATCCAAAACGTCTCATAATATTAAACTTGTACTTTTACAAAGCTGTTATAACTGTTACAAAAGACTTTTGGATCAGTTTTTACCTCACGCTGTTTGTGTTTAAAGGAAATCATTTGTATTTTCAGTCTCTGTTAGTCTTTCCATAGTAACAGTTGATATCGGGTAACGGCAGATACTTAAAGCCAAAGTATTGACATCGGTATTGGAACAGAAAAACCTACATCGGTGCATCAGTAATCTTGTCAGTGCTGGATGACAACTAGCATGCTAACAGTGCACCCAGTGTTCCAGGTTCACAGAGGATATAAACTTTATAATTTGATGCAGACAGCTCACAGTGCTGTCATTTTGTCTGACTCTAACAGTAGTAGTTTAATAGTTTAATATTCATGAGCCCTAACAATTCGCCAAGGCACCAGTTCTCTGGGAGACTTTAAAACAGCTTTGTAGTCCATACAGAACTTATTTACTGTAAACATCAGCAGCCCCATACATAATAACACAACCTCTTATTTGAGTGGATGCAATTAGCAGATCGCAAAGGCTCCTTTTTTAAATACCAAATGCCATTTCCTCTACAAACAACAACACCTCCTGTCTTACTCTGCATAAAAACTGCTAACGCTGTAGTTTAAATCTGCACAAACATGTTCTGAAATGTAATTCTTATATTAGATTGTCAGTTCATATTTCAGTGGTTTTGTCAGTTTGTCAGGCATATTTAAAATTGTAATTGTAATTTTTTCCCAAATCGTGCAGCCCTATACATACACACACACAAAAAAGCTATATCTTATATTGTGATAAAGTAGTACTCACATTGCTTTATATTGCAGTAGTCCCATGGTATGGCTGAGTTGTTTGTATAACACCAGGGCCCGTGCTTGTCCTTATCTGGGTTTCGGCAAGAGCTGCCCTCCAAACCTGGCACCTGCATCCCCCTCTCGCCACTGGAAAAAAAGGTATTACATGTTCATTTATTTTAGTGGTTATTTTGATGTTTCTTGTCAAAAAAGTGGAAACTCTAAACAGTGTACTAGTGTTCACTTGGATTATGTTTTATCGCCCTCTGCTGGCAACAGTGGGGAGTGAAACATGATGAAACGGAAACAAGCAGCAGAACTAATTACAGTAAAGCCCCATTCATACATGCAGCCTGACCTGGGAATTTGATTGCATTTGGCTAGAACAGGGTCACGTGTGAATAAAACCAGAACAGATTTCCCTGCATCCAGCAATTTTCCAGGTAAACTCCCGGGAATATGCAGAGGAAGCTTATGTCTGAACAGAGCCAGAAAATCGCCAGTACCACCCATAGACATTTAAGGACATGAAATCCTCTATTTCTGCCTGTTTTGACAACTCGAATTCAAATGCTCCTTCAAGTATAAATGAATGGTAAAAAATGTTGATTAGATTTCTGTCATGTATTGGTAAAAAAGAGGTTTAAGGATCACTAGATGTTTATAAAATGCACAGAAGTTCAGAAATCTCAAATAAAACTTGGTTAGCCATTTTACACTCTAATTATTATCTAAAATAAGACATCAAAAAGTTTACAGACTCGACAATGACTTTAAAAGACGCTCTGATCTTACAGAAATGTGGTCAATGGATTGGTAAAACATGACACCCTCTGGATTATCCATAATTTATTGTTTTAATGTATCTATTCATTTCTGTAGACTAAAACTATCAGCTATAGGAAAAAAATAAAGGGGACTGGCTCCAGTGTTCCAAAAGCTTTCCGGGCTAGCGGACTTGTTAAGTAGAAGATAGCATTAGCATCGAACGCCATGTCTACAAATGAGGTCTATGGTACCACTGCTTGGTTGCTTTGGGAAAAAAAAAAGGCATTATGGATGAAGTACGTTGCACAAGGACACAACAATGCATGCACTGATCTTAGGCGGTATCAAATCACAGACATTTGGGTTAACAAATGTTGTCATCACAATGAAAGAGAGATGGGAGACTTAATATTATTCCACAGCATATCTTATCTATCTTTCAGGTGTACAAGTTTATTTACGATGATTAAACTACATCACTGAACACACACAATAGTTGATCTGGTCTAACAGGTCCCTTTAGTTTTGCAGAGCCTTAAGCTGTATTTAGAGCAAGCACATTTGGGCCTCTAATTCCCATGTGATAAAGAGAAGGGGGCAGATTTATTATGGAGCATTAGTGAGAGCTGAACTAATTCCCTCTGATACTATCTGGACTGTGTGATAGTGCAGCTGTGCCGGCCCCTCCCTCCAGACAGAGAGTGGAGACACCCACCCAAACAGCAGATTTGTGGAGCATATGCATACAGGCTAAGCAGTAGACTTGTGTGAATACTGTAGTTGAATATATTGGGATAATGATGTAATTTGAGATTGTCATAGTCCAATTGAGAAACTTTTCTAGTGCATGGTTCATCGCCTGCACGTGGTTCAGCGCCAGTGCAGTGGCCGCAAGTATTCCAAATAATTCAAAGTAATGAGAGCTCCAGATTCCGGTCTATTTCCTTTCAGAAAACACAAAACAAAAACAGATCCACGCTGCAGTCCTTTTGAGCTACACATTTTTGAGTATTATTATTATTTTTATGAATAATTTAAAAAATGGGAGCTCCAAAGAACTGCCGTGTGGATCAATTTTTTTTTTCTTCTCTACAATTTTTGTCTTTGGACCCAGGAAGCAGGTGCAACTTTTATCAGATGTGCGTGTCTCCATCTACCAGTCTATTTCCTTTTTCCCTAAATGAATAGTTATAGCATGAACATCTGGTTTTACACGTGAGAGATAACAGCATTGAAAGCTAAACTTTGAATTAATAAACAGTAACTGGGGAAAACTAGGACTGAACTAAGACAGCATGAGACAATCTATGGCATGGGACCAAACCAAGATTAAACTGGGATGGCATATGAAGAGTCTATAACACTGCAAAGACTAAAATCTAGCCAAGTTAGGATAGCTTGAATTGAAAAAGTAAAATTATCAACAACTAACAATGGAACAAGACATTTTGAACTTAAAATACATCTCAACAACTTAAGATATGGAAAACAACAATGCTTGGCACTTAAAATAATAAACACAATCTAATGTTAAAACACAAAATTAAAAACTGTAGTGATCCTGATGTCCTACTCTTTATATCTGAAGTCCACCTGTGTATATTTTCAATAAGATGGAAGAAGATCCAACTGAAAATCGAGATCCATTTCCCCATATTGCCCTGTCCTACTTTGGACATGATCTGAATTGAATCTCATATAATCAGTGCAGCTCGTGAGGACAGAGTTTCTAATGTCAGGTGAGTCCCCCAGTCCAGTTTCCAAATCTGTTCTGTCAGATCTCATGATTACTAAGTGTTATGTGTTAATGTTGACAGCCCTAATTGGGACTAAACCAGGACTAACCTAACGCTAAATAAAGAACTACATTGGGTCTAAACCAGAAGTTAACAAGAACTAAACCAGGACCAAAACCAAGACCAAAAACTAGACCAGGTTTCAAGCATGACTAAACCACACTAGACCAATTCTTTCCCACGCTCGCTAAACCAAAACACTTCAGTATACATACTCTTAATATTCGCTTTAGCCTCTCTCTAACCCTGAGTGAGATGTTGGCCCAAAGCAGGGACCTGATGACACTTTGAAGTGTCGGACCCTGGGGCGGGCTGGGGTCAAAGGTCAGGGGTCAAGTGTATGCCCCAGACTCACAAACTCCACTTAAACATGTCAGAGAGTCATTCCTGTACTGTGAGGTCACCTGGATAGAGAGTGTGCTAAAAGCAATAACAGTGTTTGCAAAAAAGGCACAAGATGAACCCTGATATGTACAGAAACATATAATTATATTGCACTAATGGTTAGAATTATGGTTGATAATTATGGGTTTCATGTCGTTACAGACGGTAAGTTATAACAAATACGCATGCTACTGTAATTAACTAGATTTCTTGGTAATTAATTAAGTTAAGGACATTATCATGGTGTGATTTGAGCAGTTTGTTTCTCCTGTATCAAGACTTTTTAAAACAATGCATCAGGCTTTTACACCAAATTTGGCAGATAAGATGTTCAAGAGGAAACATTTTGAGGCAATGGCCCGTCTCATCACAGGCTGAAATAGCAGAGCAGAGATGGAGGCTTAGAAGAGGTTTTCTGGTTGTATCTCTAGAGTTCACCTGGCTGCCCCTGGAGGCTGCTGTGATGCTGCAGGACAAAAAGGAGAGACACTTTTCTCCTGCGGGCTGTTACCTCCTCAAGCTGCTCAACAAGGCTGTTGAGCTGCACTACCTGTTGAGCTGCACTGAGACTTTTGTCTGAGCTTTTCTGTTGTTATTGTATTTTCTGCTCTATGGGCTTAATTTGCCCCTGGGGAACAAATCAAGTGAAAGTGATTTAGATTTGATTTGATGTTATGACAGTTTGCTGGTTAGTGCAGTACATTTGGAATACATGTCACTGGGTTACATAGTGTGATCTTCTGATGAAAGAAACCAACTCCCATTCAAGTGATCAAAATCCCTAAAGGATTTGTTCAATGCTTTGGCCTGTGTAGCGCAAGTCCAAGCCAGAGACTTTCATGTCTGAGTCCAAAATGAAATTCAAGTTACTGAAATGAGTTCACATTCATTGCTCTGTTGTGTCACAATACTTTTGAATGAACGCTACGTTTTAGCATCTTAAAATCTCCATGGGTTTAACATCAGGCTCACTGAACATTCAATGATTGTGTGAACACAGATGTCTCCAATACTGATACTTTGCAGCTGATGTCATCAACATTCCATGGGGTTGTGATGCTATAACTAAAGGCACTGCACTGTCTGAAGCTCTATTAAGACTTAAATCCAATCTTTATTTTAACAGAATCTAACCAGGAGAGATGATTTGTCTCTTGCACATAAAATTACAGTCACAACATTGCAAGCAGTATCCAACGGTTTTCACTCTCATCTTTTTTTTTTAAATCAAACACCTAAATGGGACGATCAACACTTGCATTCAGTGCAGGCTCCTACAATGTGGTCTTTAAATCCATTTCATATTTTGACTAGAGTTTTCAGATCTTAATCTCTCTCAGATCTTTTTTGACAGTGTTTGCTGATGTGTGCATTGTGTCATCATGGTAATTGCTGAATATTCCACCATAGAGATACATATAGAACACCACAATAAGATGTCACTGCAGAGTATCAATAGAGGACACAGAGGGTGCTTGTGTACATTGCTTGTGGCCTGACCTGTTGGCGTGCTCCCTCCAGGGGGTGCAGGGCAGGTTGGAGCGTGTTCGGGACAGGTCTCCTTGGTAATTCTCTCCAAACCCTTCGTAGCAGTCTGCAGACAAGAAGAGAACCCAAGCCATAATCAACAAAACCTGCTTTTCAATTGGAAAAATAAACAGTCAAAAGCGCCATTGTCCTCCTTAATCAACCACCGACCACACCACACAAGACTTCGATATAGGGCCATATGTATGTTACTTTGAAGTGTAAAATATGAGGAGAAATACGACCCACTCATTTATGTTTTGGAATATTTTTTCAATAATTCTGTAAAAAGGGTTGTGTTATAAATATGCATCTGTCATCGGTCGCCGTGGGAACGTTTCAAAGCTCCAGTCTAAACCACAACACAGAATGGGAGAATCTTTTATAATCCCGTTGTGAGCCACATCTAGTACAAATGCCCCCCTGGGATATTAGATTCTGTGTACTCAGCCATACATGCACATTTCTGACTCACTAATCGCCTGGTCTCTCTTCGTCCTCTTATGTATCCCACCCAGATCTAAGCCCAGATTGGATTCATGTGAAAAGGCATTTAAATGCATATGCTCGGGTCATTCCTTCCCACACGGCAAACTAAAATGGTACCAAGAAAAAATACAGTAACAAAGTAATCAACAGATTAGCTACCATGCATCTGTGTAACTCAAAGAGACAAGATAGGAGAGGTGAACCTGGCACATGCCAGATTGATATGTGCAGTGCTCTAAATAGAGATTTCACAAGCAAAACAGTCTATATTTTCAATAAACTAGGCTGAAGAATGATTCTCGGCATTGCCATGTTGTAGTTCTCTTGTGTGCTTTGTCTTGGTCATTGGCAACATACTGCTGGCCAAATTTGAACTTTACAGGTTTTAAATCTCTAACCTACCTCTCAATGTTTTTTCTGCTATTGTTGAAAATAATTGTAAGTAATAATAGTAGTAGTAATAGTATTTGCACTGATTTATTGTTGTAATAGTGTTGATTGTGAAAGCAAAAGATTACATTTGGAATAAACCATGTTTAAACCTTGAATGTGACAGTACCTTTGAGGGGCTTGTTGTGGGCTCCACACTGAGGGATGTGGGTGCACAGCATCATGCGCACCCGTGGGTCTGTGGTGAAACACCAGGGAGACTCTCGGCCATCTGGGTTCCTGCAGTAGTTCTCCTTCAGGTCTCTGGAACAGAGAGATGAGAGAGGTGAGAGAGAAATAAGAGTGATGAGCAGAGACTCCAAACAAAACCAAAACTAATTACAAATGTTAATACATTGTTTACGGCAAATATAGCATTTTCAAAACAATAAGACACGGTGATTTGTATTTTATGCATTAATAAGTAATATTGAGCTGAAGAGTCCTGAATCTTATTTTTTCCATTTAGATGTTGCTTAGCCTGAAATGTTTCACATAATTGCAAAAGTGTTTGTATACCAGTTACATAATTTCTGGCACTGAGACCCGTAAGAGAAAGTACTGTGTTTTTTTAACAATTACTTTATTATTCTTTCCATATATTTTGATTATAGCGCGTCGTAAACTTTAATTTGATCTCCATAAGTCATGTTTTCTCTTGTGCCGTTTGATTCTCAGCTGTAGTACACAGCATGAGTAATGGCAAGATATAACATTTGGATGTAATGATTTATTATTTATGGTTTTGAACATTTTTCTCAGCACACGGACAAACAGAAGCACTGCCAGAGGAATATAGCTGGATGGTAAATTTGACTTAAAATAATAAATACATTTCACTCAGATATGAAGATTTAATCCTTGTTGGGTCATACAAAGATAATTATGGAACTAGAATGATCAACAGATATTTTGTATGTATTTGCACACATCCTCTCTTATCCTATTTGGCCCTGACTTAAAGGTCCTATATTACACAAAATTGACTTGTGTGTGCTTTAAGCCATGTTGAAATGTTTTCTCCTCATGTTTGAGCAATCCTGATTTATTATTCTGTCTACATCTCTAAAGCTCAAAATACTCTGCTCTACCTTGTGATCTTTATGTAGTAGTTTTTCAAGTTAACAGCTACCTTTAACCTTTAGTTCTGTAGAGACTGGCAATTCCTGAAATTATCCAAATGATTGACTGAGTGAAAGGGACATGGAGTTTAAAAACACAGTGGAGCACTTTCTGTATTAATACATGACATCACGAAGAGGAACAAAGGTTGTTTTCAGTTTAAGAGAAGAACTCCTGCCTAAATATGCAGGATTTGTGTGTCAGATGTGTGAATGAAACAAAACACAACTCCAGGTCTGTTTTGATGTGGAAAAAACATTTTAACATAAAGTAAAAAATAGCTCAATATAGGCACTTTAAATAAACTGTTCATTGGTTTTTAAGCATATTTCCAAATTGGGCTTTAAAATTTGAAAGGCCAGAGAAATTTTTAAATCCAATCCAAGAATCCCATGCATTTCAGAGCATGTATCAGTCTAAACTTTAGACTCTAAAGTATGGATTAACAGCTTTCATGCATTCTTAAATCCCAGAATATTTTGTTGTCAGCACCGAACATCCAAGAGGAACATTAGCACACTTGCAAAACAAAGCATTATATAAAACATAATATATTTTAAATGGTCACATGTTCTCAGAATGTTGCAAGTTAAAGGTGCATTGTGTAACTTTTCTGGCGAAGGGACTGCCGACACTGTCTCCATGATGATGTTATTGCTTTGCTTGGAATGCTTCACAGTAAGGCATTACACTTAACTATCTCCATGGAAACAAGCAGGAGATGCCACCAGACCAAGGTACTGATCAGATCTGTGCAGAGGATGACTGTAGATATGCATGTTCTTAGAGTAATGAAAACACCCATAACTGAATGAATAAGTTTAATGACACACTGGGAAACATTTTACTCCATGGGGACAAGCAGGCGGTGGACCCTCTGCCCGAAAAGTTACAAAAGTTACAATGCACTTTTAAAAAACTTGAATAACCTAAATATATGCAGTCTTTATAATTTGTTAATTTCACGCTTAATATGTGTATTGAGTGTGATTGTGTGGTACTCACTTGCAGGGGTAGGCCTCTGGGATGAACGAGTGGTTGTGTGGGTACTGTCTGTCCCAGCGCTGGCAGGTCAGTCCAGTGGGGGTCGTGTCCACTGTGCCCCTGTAGCCCTCTCCTCGGCCCTGGGTACACTCTGTAGTCTCCTCCACTGTGTGCTTAGGGGGAGTGTCTGTCAAAACACACAGCACATGGTAAATGAAAGCTATTTTGTTCTAATGATTAAAGGAAACTACCGGTCAAAAGTTTGGACACACCATCTATTTTTCTTTATTTATACTTTTTAAGAAATATATTCATAAAGAAGACGTCAAATATATGAAGTAAGACATATGGATTTATATAGCAAAGAAAATATGTTTTATTTTATATTAAAATCCTCAAAGTCACCCTTTGCTTTGTCAAAAAAGTTATAAAAATAGTTATTTAACTTTTTAACTTACATTTCTTTACATAATCCCATATAGCTTCATATATTTTATGTCTTCTGTATGTACTGTATATAAATGTAGAAAGCAGTAAACATATAGAAAAAAATTGAATGACATGGTGTGTTCAAACTTTTGACTTGTAGTGTATATATTTTTTATAATTTAGAGTTGTTATATACTTAGAAGGTCTGCATTTCTGGACTTGGTAGCTGAGTGGCTAACCTCAAAGCAAGATGGTGCATGTTCTCCCTGTGAATGACTGGTTTCCTCAGGGCACTCCTGTTTCCCTCATCAACTCGAAACATGCATAGTGTTAGCCTCATAATTGTCAAAATCACTTTTCAAGGTTTTGAGGAAAATACAAAAATAAACTGCCAATGTCAATAAGATGATTTGTTGTGATTGGCCAATGACAATGGAATCAGTGACCCTCACAGATGTAGCAAAGTCTGGAGAGTCGAAGGAGACAGAACTCAATGTGACCAAAAAATGACTTGGGCAATTATGTTTTGAGGCTGGCAACAGGCCTGACCAAGATTAGCTCAAGATCTGGAGATGGGACCCACTGCTCCAGATGAAATGCCCCAGTAACACTGAGGAATGGGTCAAATGTAGAGGACAAATTTCCCTCAAGGGAAAATAAAATGTACCTTAATTTAACCTTAAACTAGACTTGTCAAAAAGTAAGTTTAAAATTAAATAAATATAATACAAAATGAACAATGAGATATTGTGTGTTCACAGTAAAGTAAAGGAAATGTATTGCTAGCTACAGAGGGCTTACAAAAATAGATAATGTGGTGTGGGAGTAAAAGGAAGATAACAAGGTGCTAATGACTTCTGTGTTATATAAGCTGTTGTATTATAAGTCAAGTTTCAATAAAGTTTCCATTATGTAGTAATCATTTATGATAAAAAGCAGTATTATCATAAATAGGCATCTTAATACTGTGGGGGTTGTAGTATTGCAGAAAACAAAAAGCAATTCAATTAAAGTAGAACTGTGTATAAGGTGTTTTAATGGAATAGTGTTTTGTCCCTTAATGTTTTCTTGCAACTTTAGCGCAGACTTGGACAATTTGCAGCTTTGTGTAAAAATAGCCAAAAACCCAAGCGTGTGCTGCTGCAAGTGACCGCTGCAATTTTAAGTACTACGTGACATCACACATGACTGCTTATAGCAAGGTGCTTCTGATTCCAAAAAACAGGCTGCAGGAGCAGCGTTTGAAGTGTGGATACCTGTTAGACCAATCACACCGTTCTTATACCTCCAGACTCTGAACTGCCTCCTCCTCACTCTATCCGCAGTTCTATTTGAAATGTGGTTGTGGGAGTTAAGAAGTTTAATCCCACTTTAACCACAAAGGTGCAGAAATAGTAAATCCATCATTAACTTGGCATGTCCAAAAAACAATTGTTAGCTTATTGTGTTTTTTATATATTCACCCTCTAGCTGTAATGTAAATAGTTCAAAAGTCTCCCAAATGGAGTCTGGTGTAAACAGGGCCGGGTGGGCAGGAAATCCTGTCATATACATCCTTCAGCAGCTCATTACAGAGTAGAGAGAGAGAGGGCAACAGCCTCACAGAGGGCACTGCACTGTGCTATCTGTCCATACCACTCCAAACATGTACCAACGCAAAGACCTGACATTCTACAGTGGACCCGCTCCACTAAACAACACTTGTGGATCTACTAGGACAGCAAGACTGGTCACATTTGAATAAAAATGAACAAATCACAAAGGCTGCGTACCATGGATAACAAAATGTCCTATCACAAAAACTAACCTAACACAGCAGGATGGATTCTTGCAATATTTTTTCGGTTCACCAACTCATGAGAATCCATCTTGGCATGCGTCCACCGTAAGGTTAAACGGTGGACCAATCACAGAGTAGCATAGTCCCAAAACAAATAAACCATAACAAATGCCAACAGACATACTTCAGCCTATTTTAGCGTCACTGCAGACTAGCAGAAGGTAAGCGCTTAGTGCATTTGCAGACAGGGAAAATGTCTGTGCTTTTCTCTCAACTGGATGTAACAAAAGTTTGATTTGATTTTTTTCTTATTCCAGTGTTGGTGAAGCTTTCCCCTAGTTTAGATATATTTAGGTTTCAAATTTGACTTCCTGGTTAGAAATCACACTACAAAATCATGTTGTACACAAGGCCAAAGCTCCCCTAAAGTAAACAAAAAATATTATTTGAAAAATAAAAACATACACTCATTGCACACCAAAGTATCAGAGTAAAATGTGTTTCTTACTCAAACTGTGCCTAACTTTTGGATAGAATTAATCCAAAACATTATCAATCTGAAAATAGAACTCCTTCCTGTAATTTTCAACACCAAATGTAGTCAAAATTAGAGAATTATCAAAACATGTGACCTTAATACAAAAATTAGCAATTAGTATCAAATCAATATTACAAGGCTGCCATAGTATTACTTGGTATCAGATTGAAACAAAAACCACTGGCACCACCCAACACAATTCGATATTTTCCTAAATCATTAAGCATAAAATCCCCCGTCTGCTCTGTTTTGATTAGGGCTAACTGTCTTGTAAACTGGCTCCTATCAGAAGCCCCGTGCACACGCAGGCTGTACCGGGGCGTAGGGAGCAGTGTAGTGCGGTGCCAAATGGAGAGGAGCCATATGCGGAGATGCTGCCAGCTCTCCAGGCCAAACAGTATGCCCCCCGATGCCCCATACTGCCCCCCGGAGGTAGCTTTACACAGCACAGAGGCACTTAGCAAGCAGCTGAGAGCACAACAGAGCAGGAGCTGAACGTGCTGCAAGTGTCTGCTGAAGTTAAATTACACTTGTACTAGAGTCTGCAAATATCATACGTCATGTTTTAAAGGGCTCGTATTATGCAATTTCTGATGTACGTTATGAAGTTGTTTCCTCATCACAAACATACTCGGAGTTGTGTTTTGTTTCATTTACACATGTTTAACACAAATCCAGCATATTTAGGCTGAGCTTGTCTCTCAAACTGAAAACACTCTGTTCCACCTTGTGATGTCATGTGGTAATACAGGAAGAGCTAAACTGTGTGTTGAATTCAATACACCTTCATTAGAACCATTTAGATAGTTTTAGCTTTGGAATTGCCAATTTCTACTGAACAAAAGGTCAAAGGTAGCTGTCAACTTTAAAACTACTGCTTCATGACATCACAAGGTGGAACAGATCATTTTGAGGTTTGGAGATGTAGACAGATGAATACACCAGGATTACTTAAACATGTGTGGATGAAACAAAAACAGCTCCAGGTAAGTTTTTGATGAGCTAACAGCATTCTAACATGGCTGATGGACATAGAACGTTAAAACAATACTTCCCAACATTCCCCATGGAGGTAAATGCATTTTATGTCTTGCTATGGAATTTTATAGCCAAAGGAACAACATTTCCATGGAAACAAGCAGGAGGGAGGCCAAATAAGTAATTTTGTAGGACACATGTTTTTCATTGTTTCTTGGGGCAATAAAAAACATGATGGTCTATTTTTGTCAAAAAGTTACATACTGTGGCTTTAAATTTACAATTTAAACTTGTTATTAAGTAAGCAGTCATTGATGCTGGCATTTTGAAGTGTTAGCAAGGAAAAACATCACATATTCTTTTAGTGTAAATTACAATTGGGGGCCCTTGTGAGATCTTCAGATTGATAAAGGAGACTGCAGACTTTGGGAATAGAGCGTCTAGAGTAATAAACATTCTCTGTGAACACGGCTGAGGTGGAGCAGGGGGCCCGTGTTACAGCCCCACACAACAACAAACAAAAGGAGGTGGAACATAAACACAGCACCTTTTAGACATGCTCTGAGCTGATCGACCAATCCCTGACAGAGGAGGAGCACTGTAACGCTCATGCACCAGTCACCCTTCATGCTAATGCTAATGCTAACACTAACACATGCACCACAAACAAACAGACAGTACCACAGGCTCTGATGTGGCAGTACTCCCACGGTGTCTGGGGGTCTGTGGTGAAGCACCAGGGCCTCTGACGCCCGTCCGGGTTCCTGCAGTAGTTATCATCCAGGCCTCGGTCTGGATACCTACAACACACAAGCACAAAACACACAAAATGATACTAGCACTGTGTACCGTCAAAAAACTATCAAGAATATTGTGCTGAGTATATAATAGTGAGGGCTGGGCAATATGGTACTAAACATCTAACAGCGATCTTATTCTGGTGATGATATACTATTTTAGTAAAACTGTCATATCATAATTCACTAAATGTTCTCTTAAATGTAGCTCTATGCCCAAACAAAGACACTTTTTACCCCTTAAACTTCTTGGTCAATCACATCAGTGCTCAGCGTGAGTGAAATTTATTTGACCAGTTGCAATAAAGGAGCTGAAGCTTTAATCCGTCTTCTATGTCTTCCATGTGAACATTTGTGTGATTATTATTTGTTGTTCTTTCTGTACACACATAAATATTACCAGTTGTCTGATTCAAAAGTGAATTATTTTCGGTTTGTGGAACCATGGTATAAGCGGATTACACAAGTCAGAGCAGTGTGTTTTAACGCACTCAGTGCTGACAAGACTAGCATTGGTGCGTTAAAACTATTTAATGCTTGTTGTTTAATCCTTAATAATAATAAAAAATTATAAATAAAACAAAGGTTCAAAAAGCTTTCCCCTTTGTGTTTATTGTCCTGGTCCATAGCCCAGACACTGACGCAGAACAGATGGATTCTTGTGAGCTCTCAGAAATATTTCAAATTCATGTTGTTGCACAAGAAACATTTCTTAGGTAATAAAAAGGGAACTTAAGTTGGGTGAATCTGATAAAGAATGAATGATGTAACATTTATTTGAACTGTATATAGAGTCAATTACGAGCTGTACATTGTATTTTAATGGTTTTTGTCTGTTGTGGTGAGATTTTTTTCACATGTTTAAATAAAAAGGGTTACATGTTAGTGAGTTACATCTTTTATAGTTCCAAAAATCAGTACTAATAACAATACAAATATGAATTATTGATTTGTGGGGTCAAAATTATGAATGGAATTATGTTAAAATGACATCTCTCGTTCTCATGGACATAATTTGTATTCATGGTACCTGGAAAATAGAACCCAGGACCTTTTTCGTTTTATGTTTCTGAGTCCCTCCCATGCCACATATTATCAGCTGTATACCACTACAATATGAATAGCACTTCAAATGTACCACCGCCATCTGTGCACTGAACTCTAGGGAGCGTATGGATAATAAACCAGAGTAGTACAGGTGTTGTGTTGATCGTGTCCCCCTGTCTGTGGTCTCTGGTGGAATATATAGGTCCATCGCCTGGGGCCCCGAGAACGTCAGGCCCCGGAGCCCCTCATTATATTACATTAGTACAATGAGCAGACTGGGGCCACAGCTACACAAACCCAGGGATGATTAAGCACGTGTTAATGAGTCCCCTCTAATCCAGACCACCTGGCTCTGCCTTTCCATCCGATGCACATACAGTCACCCTGCATGCTAATCACCAACAACTGTAAATGGCTATGTACAGTAAAGGGGACGTGCCATGCAAAATTGGCATACCTGGAGTCTAATTTTGATTCATACATGCTTGTTAATGTAATCCTGTAAACTATATTCTCCCTTTGTGGGTATGGATGCATCGATTCAAAACTCATATTGGATATCAGCACCGATGATTTGCTGGACTGGCCTCCTAATATCAGTTCAGACAATGTTTTGTTTGTACAGATAAATTGATGTAATAAGGCAATTTGTTGGTTGAAGTCGGTCCAGAAAGGCTCATAATGTTTGAACTTTCATTTACACAAAGTCGTTACGTAGCTACTTGAGGGATAAATAACAACTACATAACACAATTACCATATTTTGTTGTAGTTTACAGGAAATAAATATTAGTATGTATAGTATCAGAATTGAAAATATCAATCGGTATCAAAAATCAATGAGCACTCAAAAATCACCCCATTTCAATTTCCCAAGATTGTTATGTTGTGAAAGTCTTCAAAAAAAAAAAATAAAAAATAAATAAATAAATCTTTTTGTATGTTTAAAATACTTGGGATATTTTTGCAAGGGACTGAACAAAAAAACTGCTAAACTAATCTCTCCCTGAGCTCTCTACTGGAAACAGTGATATATATATGTATATGTATAAAAAAAAGGAGACAAGCATCATTGCTAATTTGATCAACAAATGCTTGAAAAATAGCTATTGTTGTGTCCACGGGCAAGACACAGCTTTCCAAAGCTATTCTCAATATTTGCAGTCATGACAAAAATATACTAAATACATATTGGCCACACAGCTTGTCAGCACTGAAAATCCTAGTTTATAGACAAGAACAGGCTCCATCCCTGTGTTCCCCCCATAACAATAGACAATGCTCCAAATATACTCCTGACCCAATTCTAGAAAAGGATAACAATATCAAAAGAGATGGTTAACCTTAAGTATATTTAAGCTATTGTTTGATGCAATGTCTTTATAAGTTTGGTTTGCTAAAGATCTATGAGCAGAGCCAAAGTTTATCCCACAACATGACATTAGAGCTTTCCTGAATTCCTTGAACGAAAGGGAAAATCTCTGTCTCCTAATCTGCTAATCTCCAGACTAAATGCCCTGTCATTAGACCTCATTATGGCATAAACGTGTTATTACGATGACTGTAAATCTGACCCTGTGAACCGGGACATTACATAAGTGCATATGGCAGGTTTTCATGCTTTATTACTTGGTTTGGGGGGACTGTATCTGTGGTAAATGTTTATCATAGCTTTACATCAGTTACACGGCAGATTGTAGAAAAAAGTTGCAAAGGAAATGTATGTGAAAATGTATGTGAAAACAATTTGAACATAATACATTTATTCTCATTAGTCTAATCATAACTACTCTATAATATTTAGATCTGAGGCAACAGTTTATCTCTACATACGTAGAAGTATCTCTGCATCTGTCATATCTGTTGCCCAACCAGGAAGTAACAGTGGTAGAAAGAAAGTAGTAAAAGTATTTAAGTAAAATGTAGAAAGTGAGAAACATAGAAAGTGAGACAAAGCCTGCACACTTACTCCCAAACTGCATTTAATGATGTTTAGATCGGTGGATCTTTGTCAGGTCATGACCTGAAGATTGACTGATCGAAATGTATAGACATTTTCTGATGAGAAAATAACCTTATAACATAGATGAGAAAATAGCATAATATGGGTCCTTTAAGCAGCAGAGCATCAGAGCCTGTTCTCGGTTACCATTTAGGATGGTACAGGTGCTTGTGGGGCTCCTCCAGGTCCCAGCGCTGACACTCCTTCCCAGTCTCTGTGTGGTCCATGGGTCCTCTGTAGTCCTCCCCATTGCAGGTCATACACTCCACTAGACACAAGGAGAAAAACTGAAATTGTTAATACACACACTGAACTGATTTTTTTTTTTTTCCAAGAAAGCTGAGGAATGTTCTTGCAGCCATAAAGTCAGCAACAGATTCATTTTAAATATATTCATTCTCCCAACCCACATTGGAAGAAGTACTCAAGTAAGTACAGATAATGCAGCAAAAAATACTCAATAATGGTAAAATATGACATGCAAAAGTAAAACGTAAAAGTATTAAAGTACCCGTTTATAAATGTACATAAAGAGTAAAAAATGATTTTGATCAAAATTTGTGCTGAAACTTGTTCAGCAGAATATTTTTATTCTAGCTGTTTTTATTTGAATATTTTTGTTGGCTCACACCACAAATGTGTTCAAAAATAATAATAAAATTCAGCCTTTTCAGCAGGTCTCACATAATAATAATAAAAAAAAAAACCTTTTACTTTCCAGTCCTGTTCAAACATGTAGTGTAGGAGAAAATACATATATCTTTTTCTCAAATGAAGTACAGTAAAGGTAAAGAATATTCACTTTAAAATCTACTTAAGTGAGGACCAAGTGGCACTTCCGGTGATGATGTGGGTGGCAGCAACGCTCTGAATATGTTGAAACACCTCCTCAATTGTGCTCAAATTTGCCTCTCTGAAACATAAAGTTGATATATTTTCCAAGTGGAAAAAGAGAAAAAAAGAAAAAGAGAAGCACCAATGCTTATGAAAAGTTTGTGGAAAACTAAGAACACACAAGGTCTAAAAACTGATCAGCTCTGGGCCACTCGGGCTACACCACCCGATGCCACCAATGATTCAGTGGATGGTACCAAGATTAGCGACGCTTACAATCTAGAAGACATACTTGCGGATGACAGCGACCGTATGCGTCACGAGAGTGTTGAGGAAGACTTGCTGAACAGACTCTCTAGTGAGAGTGTAAACTTTCTGCGTGAAGTGCACCTCATGATACAGAACGTACAGGAAGAAACACACAAAGTAGGAGCCGATGTGGTGATTGTCAAGGACGGAATGACTCACGTAACCATGAAAGTAGACAAACTGGGAATGAGAGTGTCTGAGTCTCACGACTCGAAGATGACAACAAAATCCTGACTAGTCAAGTGCAGAGTATGAGCACGATCGTATCCCAGCTCCAGACTCGGGTTGAATACCATGAAAACTACAGCAGGAGGAGCAATTTACGGTTAAGAACAGTACTGGAGGGCCAAGGGGATGGGAAATTGAGATGGAATGTATGAAAAATATTTTGAACTGTCTATTTAAAGACACAGGAGAATCTATAGATGACATAATTATTGAAAGAGCCCACCATGTCCCCCGGGACACAAACGGGAGCAGTGGGGAAATCTGCCTCGGTACATCGTGGTAAGATTTCTGAGTTTTATGGACAGAGAAAAGATACAACTTAAGGCTAGAAATGTCAAGAAATTTCACTGGAAAGACGCTCAAGTGGACGTTTCGTGGATCTTACCAGAGAAGTACAGAAGAAAACAAGACAGTTCACCAAGGCCAATCAAGCCCGAGTGCATAAAGGGCTGCGCTATTCAATGCAATTCCCTGCTGTACTTTGGATCAACACGGGAGGACAATGACAGCACTTTGATGACCCTTTAATCGCAAAAAAAGCTGTAGAAAATTTCCAGCTAGGGGAAGGGCATCATTCATTTGAGCACACCTATCTATACATTATAGACTTAGACTCTGCAAGAATAATACTTATTTTTTATTATGAACATTTAGAATCTAAAGTAAAATATCAAACAAGGTAATAAACTTCATATCTTGGCATGTTTACGGTTTAGGATCACATGTCAAAAGGCATAAAGTATTGAATTATTTGAAGCAGATGAAGGCTGATGTAATAATGCTCCAGGAAATACAACTCCTAGAAAAGGACAGTTAGATTTAGAGACAGATGAATTGGATATACGCTCCAAAACAATTTAAATCTGAAAAAAAGAGGTGTGGCCATATTATTCTCAAAAACAGTGTTCAAATACAGAACATTTAATTTCCATATTTGAACATTTACAAAATTAAGAATGCAAAGATAAATATGATAGGACTATTATTAGTTTGGCTCATATATCAAACCATATATTATTATTATTATTTTGAGCAATATTTATGTACCTAATGAGGAAGATCCATAATTTTTCTACAATATTAAAGACTTTGGGGACTTCCCTATGATCTGTTTTTTTTTTTTTTTAAACAGACTCTCTGTTTCTCCTGTATAGACTTTTTGTTATCTCACTCTTTAATTAACTGCATAGATAACTGTAACATAGGCACAATAGGTATTACACACCATGCGCCCATCAAGCTATGTATTTCTTCAAGAAGAGAAAAGGATACAAAAAATCAATGCCACATTCAGTGGGCCTCTTTTACAGTTTTTTAATGGGGGGGGATTGTTAATGATGGGTTAAAGAAGGCATGGGAGAAAGATCTTAAGATAAACTTTGGGGGAAAGGAATGAGCCACATTGATTTAAAAAAATAATAATAAAAAAAATGTTGATTCCTATGAGACATGCTGCATCTAAACTGATTCAGTTTAAAATCCTCAATAGACTTTTTTGGACACCAGTTAAGATACATGGAGCAGGGTTTATCAGCTCAAATCACTGTTGGAGATGAAATCTAGAGAGTGGTAGCACAACTCATATCATTCTCATGCTCTAATATCAAAACCTATTGGGAGAAAATTATTTTAAAAAAAATTAGTAAAGTTATAGGCTTAAATATTTTCTAATCCAACCCTATGCATTTACAGGAAAACTAGAGTTATAAAAAGACAACATGGGTAAAAGAGAGTGAGCACTCTCAGCAAAGAGAGTGAGTGATCCTTCAGTGTTGGAAGACACCTGAGATCCCCACATATACAGAAAGGTTTACAACTTTATCTGAAACCGATTCCTATGAGAGCCTTATATAGAAGATTAAAGGAAAAATACAAACATTCAATGAGATATGAGAGCCCTTCTTTAAGCAGACGGAATAACTCCAAATATTACATCGAGAGGTAACTAAAGCACTCACTGGGTGGGGAGGGGTAGGAGGTGATAATGGGTGCACACGGGATTAAAAAAAAAACATTAAAAAATTAAAAATTACTTTGTTTCGGACAGTTAATTGCCCAAAGAAAAGTCTTAATTGGGATAGGGATGTAATAATAGCCGAGATGTCGGGAGGTAGCTCGCAGGTATGAATATATATATGTGTGTGTGTGTATGTGTGTGTGTGTGTGTGTGTGTGTGTGCGCGCGTGTGTGTGTATGTATGTATGTATACATATGTGTACATGCATGAAAATATGTATAGATATATAAGACCCCATCTTTATTTTCTTCCTTTTTTACTGTATAATATTTTTGATTTATATAACTGCCCTGAAAGAGTAAATAAGAGATTAAAAATATCTACTTAGATAACTTAAAAGTATACTTAAGTACAGTACTTAACTACTTTGTTATGATCCACCACTGCTCCCTCCGTGGATTTTGGTAGCAACATTTTCTTTCAATGGAGTTATTAAGGTCTAAACTGAGACTTCTGCTCTGTTAAAATGTTTCCTAATCACGAACATAACTGGGGTTGTGTTTTATTTCATTTGCACAAAACTCCTGTTTATTTAGGTTGGACCAAACCACCTCACCAACTATGCTGTTGTTTTTGCCATATTTATTAGCTCCTTCATTCCACAATGTGCTTCCAGACCATTATCATGACCCACTAACACACTAATCTCAGTAAAAGTTTATTTAGCTAATTAATAACCTTTTTAGCGTTAACATTAGAATCACGAATGGGCAAGCTCTGCAAAGACAAACAAAACAATTACAAAACCTCTGTTCTGCTGTAATGAGTCTGTTTGGCACATTTTCACAGTTAGTCAAAAATGTGTTATAAAAACCCTTGTAAATATTTAGCTGTAGGTCAAACAGCATAACACATAACATAGCTTAAAGGTCCTATATTACATAAATTGACTCTTGTAACCTTATAATGCTGTTACCTCCTCAGAAACATGTCTGGAGTTGTGTTTTGTTTCATTCACACATGTCTGAGTAATCCTTTATTATTAGTCTGTCTACATCTCCAAAGCTCAAAATGCTCTGAAGTGGTTGTTTTCAAGTTAACAGCTCCCTTTTACCTTTAGTTTAGCGATTTAGAGATTGGAAATTCCATTCCACGATGCAGGGTTTGTGCGTTAAACGTGTGTGAATGAAACAAAACACAACTCCAGGTCTTTTTTGTGATGAGGAAACAACGTAGTATAGCGCCTGTTTACATGAGAATGAGAAAATATTTTATCAGAAGTGCCTTTCGTTTAGACGGTGATGGCGTTTTTGGGGCTTAAAAATGCAAAAAAAAATCTGAAACCACCCTCCAGAGTGTAAAAGTTGAATACACTCCACCGTAGCATTTCTGTCTACACTGCCCAAGATGCAAAACTCTGGTCAGATCTGCTTACATCTCGTATGCATTTACGTCACATGCATCACCACCTAGCCGCCTGGCATTCATACCCAATCAAATTCGACACACTTTTGCGTCACCGTACGCACGCAGATTTCCTCCCGAAACGCTCGTCTAAAAAGTGAAGACACATGGACACTTTTGCGTCTTCTTTTCAGACCGTCATATAAATATAGCCATAGATAAAAAAGTAACTGGGGCCACCAGTTACTCATCTCCATGGAGATGAGTAACCTCTCATATTCCAAAGTATGGCATTAAACCTTTCAATGTCCATAGAAACAAGCAGAAGACACCACCAGGCCAATTTACAGCTGAGATCTGTGAAGAGGTGATCCCATGCAGGTATTTTTAATCAATAGAAAGCCCCACAATTGAACAAATGCATTTTACATAAGTTTAGTTCCATACTGTGGAGTGTTACAGGCAAAGCAATAGCGGATACCCAGCCTGAGATGTTACACAATGCACCTTTAACGCACTCTATGGGATGACATATA